GGGTTTTGTATTTTATTTTAATAGAAGTTGATGTTGCTTTTGCAATTATCCATCAATTTTTTAAAATTAAACACTATCTACAGATTTGCATCGAAGAGCGTTTCTTATGATAGTGATTTTAATCACTGTCAGATTAAATCTATACTGAACCCAACTATGCAATGTCTCCACTATGCCGCGACCCCACTGTGCTACCGTTTTTTTTTTTTTGAGAAATATTAATAAATGTGTTAGTATTAATCAATACTTACACATAAATATAATTTATTTTTCTTAGCGTTTTACACGCATTTGTTATTTTGTTAAAAATTGTTTGTGTTGATTTTTATTTTTTGTCTGAAAGTGCGGGGAAACGTACGTCAAAGCAACTTGAACGGTTGGGCGTCGACCCGCAAGTTACTTCTGCTTTTGAGCGTTCTCGGCTAGTACCTCCTATTTCTCCCGTGCGTACAGAGACCACGGAATTTGAGTCGAACAATACATGTACTTTGTATGGTCTTCGGTTAATGATAATCGACAACTCGTCAATTTGTCACCAGAATAGTAAAAAGACTGAGAAACGCAGTGATCGGTTGGAAGAAGCGTTAATTGAAATAGCGGCTAGTGCCAAACGGACCGATGAGCGATTCGAATTGTTTATGAAATCTATATCTGATCTAAAAAATCATTGTGATGAATCTACTAAAAAATTGTCGAGTGATATTGTCCGTGTTGAAAATTTTGTGTCTAGAGTCTTCTAGTAAATTATCCAGTGATATTGAGTCTGTTGGAACTGAGGTTGATGGATATGTTACCGCCACTATCAATCGCTGTAAAGGTATTGATGGCCAAGTTCGTGAAGTGGGTAATCATCTTGATGTCATTTCCAAGACTACCCTGGATTTAAAAGATGAATTTGACAGTTTTAAGTTAAAAATTCTTTCTGGTAAACCTGTGAATAGTGATCCTGTGACTGCAGTTCCTTCAGTGTCTTTCGCGCCTCCTGTTTTATCTTCTACTTATTCATTGCCTTGTAGTAATATGCCGAGTGTGCATAGTTCTTTATATAATAGTAATTGTTCTGTTTCATTGTTAAGTGAAAAGTTTCATGAGGCAGTTCCTGAGTTCTCTGGTCGACTAAATGATGTTCACCCTGAATTATTTTTGAGACAGATTCTTATTTTGAAAATGTTGTGGCTTCTGAACAGCAGAAAATTAATTGTGTGCAGCGTCGTCTAATACAAATTGCTAGAATTTGGTATGATGCTCTTGTTCCTCCGCCTACTACTTTTGAAGAGTTCAAAGTTTTGTTTAGAGCTCAGTTTTGGTCTGAGGCTGTTCAACATCGTGTTTACGATGAGGTTTTGCGTCCCTATAAATATACTTCTTTTTACTGGACTGACAACTCACGCGATGCAGTGGATTGATAAGGCGCGGTTCTTGGACTCTCCTATCACTCCCTCTCGTCTAGTGAGAGTTATATGTCAGCACTTCAATGACAGTATCTGTACTGCTCTTTTAGGACGCAATCCCAAATCTACCTCTGAACTTTTGTCAGTATAGTCTGAGTTAGAGAACTCACAATCTTTTCATTCTTCTACTTATAGTCATAATTCTTCTAATAATCAGTAACAATAGGCGAGGAAGTGATTGGAGAGGTGAGAGTTTAAGTATTTAGGGTTAGTTGTGTAAAAGAGTGGTGGTATTTACGAGGATGTAATACACAGAATTAAGTGTGAGTGGTTGAAGTGGAGAGAAGCGTCTGGTATTTTATGCGATAAAAGAATTCCAATGAGTCTGAAAGGTAAATTCTACCAAACTGTAATAAGGCCAGCTATGATGTATGGTTCAGAGTGTTTGGCAATTGATAAGAAATTAGAGCAGAGATTTGTTAAAATCACAAAAGCACTCATTTGTTAAAACGCGGGAGAGACAAAATCTCTTTTTAATATTCAAATATTTTATCTTCAATACGAAGCTTAGAAGGTATTAATTTTACCATATGTCAAAAGATCACAAATCGTATCTAGTTGAAGTCATTATCCTTAAAAATTGAAAAAATTTTCCTCGTTCCCCGCAAATGGGGGAAATCTTCAAACAAATTACAAATTTTAAAATCCGTAAATTTTGTCATTTTTTTCACTTTTTTTCTTAAAACTTCCAAAACTTTGTCAAAAATCAACAAAAATTTTTTTTTTGAAATCTTAAATATTTTTCTTTCATTTGATATCTTTTTTTGAAAATAGTAACTTTTTTACAAAAATTAACTTTTTCAACTTAACTTTAGAAAATATTCCGGAAATACTGCGTCCTTTAAACATATATCAAATCAAAGGTTATGTCATGTACTATACAATGAAAAAAAAAATTTGTCCCGACACCTTATCGTCTATGAGTAAATTGCCACCGAAATTAAATAAAAAACGTGAAAATATTTGCAAAAGAAATAAGGTCCTAAAGTGTTCTATGTTTTTTTGTATTTAAAACTATCATAACTTAATGAAATATTAACAAAAACAAAATAATATTTTTTTATATTGAAACCTTAGGTAATTTTCATTCATTTGATATCATTTTTTTTTTTGAAAATCTAACACTTATTCTACTCACAGAGGAGGATTTAAAATAGCAACTTTTTTACAAAAACTAACTTTTTCAACTTAACTTTTGAATTGTTCCGGAAATATTTACAGTTTTATTTAATCTTAAATTAAAGCTTATACTTTACTATAAAAAAAAAATTCAAAATATACTTTTTCTTCTTGATAAAATAGGCTACCGTATTCAAAAAATGCAATCTTTGTATTAAAATTCTGGGTTTTGTATTTTATTTCATTTAAAAATATCTTACAAGAGGAATATACCGACTTTAATGAATATTATATAATTTAATTGACATAGAATAAAGTTCATAAGACATTAAGACATAAGAAATTAAATTTATTAAAATTTTTTTAGAAACTTTTTAAAGTCGAAAAAGTAATTTTTAAATTTGAGTTAGCTTAAATTGCTAATTTTATCATGCAACGAAAGCAACGAACAGTTGCCGATTTGGTAACCCTTGTGTGTTTCACGCCTAGGGTACGAAGTTCAAATCCGTCTGTGGCTTCTAAAATTTTGCATTTTTTTTTTGAGTTAGAATAGAATTTTCAAATCATTTGATATTTATCTCATTTAGATTCAATAATTTCAATAAATATAAAGGATCTTATCACTATAGTCTCCCCTCGTGAGAAGAAATTGATATTCATGTTAATATTATTTTACTATGTGGTATTTTTTGTGGCTACGATTTATTTTGCCAACCCTCACTAGACCTACTTTTTTCAACGATACGTCAAATGATTCATTTAAGTTTATGATATTTAAGTTAATGATTAGTTTAAGTTATTACTCTTAAAAATCAAAAAAATATTCCTTATTCAAATAAAAAGTAGCTTAACCAGCTTTTTCCATACAAACAATTAAAATTATTAATTTCTAATATTCTCAAAGTATTTATTTTCGAATTAAATTTTATATGATAAAAATATTCAACTACAATAGTAAATAATTTTACCTTGTAATTTATTAATTTCTTAACTCTATTTGTGTGTGCTACTATTAGTCTATAATATTCCAATTTTTTTTGTAACAAGTTGCTATATAAATCATAAATTTAAAAAAAAAATATTTAGTTTCACCTGAATTTAACGATGGATTTTTACAATTATAATAAAATTAATACGCTCAATTGAGTAAATTTTTTTAACATTTTTTTTTATTGGTTCTTTTAGTTAAAGTAAAGTTCTGAATATTTCAATTGTAGAATCTTTTAAAACACCAAGAGTTAATTAGAAATGATTACTATGATTTTTATTTAAGTGATCTATTACAATAAAAATGAAAAAAAAAAAATCGAACTTTTCTGATAAATTTAATGTAAATAGTAATTATAAAATTTCCTGATTGCATATTAATCTTAACAATTTCATTTTTTTCCATTTAATAATGTCAATTTCAAACTTGCAAGTTGAGCTAAAAGTTATGGTAATAAATTCATTTTTTTTTTTATTATAAACTTTTACTTTAAACGACGAAAAGAAGATTAAAAATTATTACTTTTAAAAAATTAAAAATCAATATCAATAATAATTTGAAAACAATTTAATATAACAATTATATAATATATAATTTTATATTATATTTTTGAATCTAAGAATTACTAATCTGGATATAATTATTGAAATAGTTGATGTTACTTTTGTAATTATCCACCAATTAGAATTAAACATTATCTACAGATTTGCATCGAAGCGTTTCTTATGATAGTGATTTTAATCACTATCAGATTAAATCTATACTGTGCCGCTATCTCACTGTTCTGGGTTTTTTTATTTAAATTTTAAAATATTTATAATCAATGTTATCAATTAATTTCGTTTTGGTACAAAATAGCTAGACATAATATAATTTTTTCACGGGTATTATTCATAATATTTTATATATGTGATGTGTGTTTGTGGGGCCACCTCACTGAGGTGGCCCCATGGTTTTTTAGGGTACCTCATTGAGGTTCCGCCACCTCTTTCATGCCACCACCCTTATCAATAACAGATAAGAGAAATTATATGTATAGGATGGTGTTCTATATTGTTTATCAGTGAAGTAATTTTGATAACAGATTATGATAATACTCTTATCATTTATTATGATATTAAATTTATTTATGTCTCTTATCATATTGATAAGTAGATATTTATATAAATGAATGATATTATTAGTATGATCCCTTGTTTGATACTTCCTTTTTATGGCATCTCATTTTTACCTCCTCCTCCCATAACAATCAACATTTTAAATCCTATCCTATTTAATATTATCCCCCTCTTATTATAAAAATAATCTATAAAACACGACCCATTGTGGAGATTTAATCATATTGTTTACCAATTTTTTCTTTCTCGTGCATATTCAGTTAAGTAAATAGTGTAGTATTATTATGAACATTATGAAAATGGCTGCAGGAGTGAAAGATGTTAAAATGACTATGCGATATCCATCTCAACCCGACTTTGCTGTACTAGGAACTTCTGTATTCAACTTAAGTTTTGCAGAGAGAAAATTTATACACATCGGTTGCACGTGGATAAACGACCGATACTCTCCCGTAATGATAATATTATCTCCAAGTATGTATTTATGGATGGATGTCGATAAATTTATTAATTTTTTACAATTAATCGATGAAGTTATTTCATTTATGGATGAATCGTGTAAATCAAAAATTTATTTGAATTGCGTTTTTAACATTGTAAAATCGAAATGTTTCTCGAAAAGTTATCCAACAATATCGGGTAAAGGTAGCGAAGAAGAAAAAATGGGGCGTATATCATTGACTGAAGAAAATCTATATGCGTTGAAAGAAATGAAGTCATGTCTCCTGGAAGTAACCAAAGAGAAATATGAAACATGTAACTTATTGTACATACAAAGTAAAGAAGTTTACGAAAAAGTAAAGGATTTGGTTATAAACAAGTTTTTAGTATTACCCGAAAATTTAATGTATTCCATCGTGAAAAGTATGGATATATCGTTATTGCCAAAGACATCAACAGCACTGTACAAAGAAATAGTTACCTTCGATTATAAATGTATCATTAAACGTATATGGGAACAATTCATTGAGGATTTCAAACATCAAACCAATCAGGATGTTAAGCAGATGACAAATGAAAATATAAGGTAGATATTTCACTAAATTGTTTATGCTAAAAATACTAAATAAAATTAAAATTTTTAGTAAAAACGATGACCAACAAGATCATTTGGAAAATCACAACGAAAATGTACAAGATGATAATGTTCACCGTATAAATAATGATTTATCTAATCCATTTAATGATCAAATTCAAATATGGGAAAATTGTAACGATTTATTTGGTTAACAAAATAAAAAAATATTATTAACAATAATTGTAAACAATTTTGAAATGATATAATTGTATTGTAAAAAAAATAAATAAAAAAAAAAAAAACGAGGTCCTATTTTACACTTTACCAGCATACTCGCCCATACATTACTATGGTTCGAAAGATTTACACCCTGTATATCTCACAGTACCCATTCCAGCAATTGTTTTTAAAACGTCAACCAATTTTAAACCAATCGCAGTGTCAAAAGAAATACTAATTCATCATTTTGAAATTCTACTGTAAGATTGTATAAGAGTATGTGTGATCACCACAGTCATTCGATCAAAAGCGTCACTCACCTCTGATGAGGTGAGTTTGTNATTTCTTCCAGAGGTTCAACGATAGGTGTCGCATGCTTGCGAACAAACTCTCTAGTTTCCTCAACACCACGTTTGAGTTCCAGTAATTTTTTCCTAATACTTTTTTTAGCTCTTATAATACTTGATGTTATATTCTCCTCCGACTCCATTTTGTATTAATAATCAAGTGTCTAAAAATAAGCTCTTTTTATATAAATATCGAAACTTTTGCGATACCTTCCCTCGTTTAAAGGAAAATCTTTCGCTATCAACAAAAATTCAAATCTACCAGAGTTCCAGCATTTAGCACACATTTCTTTAAATTCTATAAAACTCATATCTGACGAACAATGATCATCATATATGTGTTTTAAATTAGTTTCGTCTTGTTTGTATAAAATAATCATTTTCGTTTTGTCTCTGATGAGTTGTTTTGGTATACGAGAATACGTCTGCGATAAGTAAAATATATCGATACCGTTGTGTCGACCTCTACAAAAATACGATGCTATGTTGTTTTGTTTTTCATTTACGACGTCGTCAAATATAAATATAGAATTAGATGTTACCTTTTCCGGTGCTAATACTTGATCGTTATCGGTGTAAACGTATAAGTTTACTCCTTCTACGTCGTTGATAATATTCTCTAAGATTTTATATTTACGTTGATCCGGAGTTTTTGTATAGAGGTATATGTTTTCAAATTTTAAACCGTTTTCTTCTGTCAGTAAATTAAACATTACGTTTGTTTTACCGCAATTAGACGGTCCACAAATTATACAACGTATATTATCGGGTAGCAAAGGACCGTGTTTCATTCGTTTTAACACAGATTTATCCAAGTCGCCGTTAAAAACCGGTAACTTACATGTTTGCGCTTCGAAAAACATTACGTATAAAAGATTGATGTAACAATTACACCGTTTTAAACGATGATTCGACGTCGACGATCTAACATTAATAAACGCGGAAACGGTTTAGTTAATTCTCTTATAAATAATCTTCCCGTCGAAGTTCATTGGCCAACGTATCAATATCTAGGACCCGGCACGCGGTTAGAAAAGCGATTGGCTTGTAGCGATCTACTCATGTCAGCTGTTATTTTGTTTTTACGTTTAGTTTGAAATCCTATAATCACATATCTAGGTTTTTCCGTATGCGTTGATGTTTTAACGGCCCACGAATGTTTTGTAGTTTGTGGTAAATATGGATGTTCAAATAATTCCCAACTTCTAAAAGCGATGTAAAGTGGTTTACGAGAATCTAAAGTCTTTAACAGTTTCAATCTGACACTGTCCTCTACGTTTATATGATACGTTTATATTCTCCACATTATTTTCGAAATTTTTATTTTACCATTCGCTCGCTCACACTTTAATGCGTTAATGTCCACGCTGGATCTATGCAGTATTAATTCTTGTCGGGAATTTATTATTATTTTACGATGATCTTCCGCAAATCCCATAATTACTTTGAGAGGTATGCACATTTCGAATTTTTCTTTAGATTCACCACTTTCATTCCATCCGGCATTTTGATATCGGTAAAGGTTTGCCGTTTGAAAAGACGCATAATCTTTCATACATGTTGTAATACCACGATTTCTTACTTTATCAATTTCAACAGAGTTTAATTTATTNTCATATAATAACATCCATTTAAAAATATCTCCATAAAAGGTAGGCGGCAATAGTATGTCTGGTAATCAGGTAAACGCTGCGCTGGCCGAACTCTGTGTAAACTATTATTACTCGACGGCGGTTCAAGTCTCCCTATTGCAGTAGTCTCCGGAACAACTACGTGCGCATTATGATTACGATGTTCTACAGCAGGGGTCACCAAATGGCGGCCCGCGGGCCACATCCGGCCCGCGGATGAATATTAACCGGCCCGCAGACAAAAAAAAAAAAAAGCCGATAATTTCTAATCTTTGTACATTATTGGGTTTTTTCAACTGCAACAAATATTATACTAGCTGTGAAGCATATCTTATCTTATCTGTTTTATTATTTATATGAAATTTTATTGACGAGTAATTTTATAACACATTAAGTCACATACTTTTAATACACGTACAACTCGTCAATACCAATTCTTCAGTGTCAGTCCGTCAGTTATCAGTGAGACGGTGGTGTCCGCTACGACGTTATTTTTGTTCGTCCGTTTCGTTTATTATTCTTTGTTTTCATTTGAATATGGATAGAAAAATAAGAAAAGTAGAGATTGAAAATAGACAGTTTTGTCCTGAGTGGATGGACTTATATTGTTTTATTTTACCAGGTAGGGTAGGTGCCAAGTCGGTGTGTTTGATTTGTCACCAAACAGTGGCTGTTATGAAACTGTTTAATATCAAACATCATTATGAGACACACAAGTCATTTGCCGAAAAATTCCCATTGGGTACTGACCTTCGTAAAACAAAATTATTTATTANTTATTCCTTTCACTTTCCTTAACATTATTAACTTGATGCATTATTTCCTCTAATTGTAAGTCGCTAGCATTTGAATTCTAAAAAATATGAATAATATTAAAATATATCTTTTGAATAAATATACCTATTTTTATGTAAATGATACTCACAAGCGTTTTCATATGTATGTGCAATTTATTTAATCCTGACATAAACGGAGGAGATGATTTTGTAATGGATTTNCTGACATTAACGGAGGAGATGATTTTGTAATAGACACTAAAAAATTATTAATAGTTAACTAAAATATATATACATAAATGTAAAAATTAAACATACAGTAATCATTATCATTTTTCAAAGTACTTGCATTATAATTCACATTTTTTCTCTCGTTAACTATAATTAAATAATTAAAATATATTATTATTATTATTATTTTTTTATTTTTAATATAACATAAAAATAATATAAATTATAATGTATACTTACGGGTTCCGTAAACATTTCTTGAAGTGCTGGCTTCGTAGTTAACCATGTTTATCCCATTAATCGATTTTGTTTCGTTTTCAGTAAACACAGTACGTAATTGTAAATCATCATACGGTGCTAGCAAATAAATTTTATTTATTAAACATTGTATTTAAAATTTTTATAATTCACATTTATATAAGAAGGATGTTACAATGTAAACATTATAGTTCACTTTACTAACCTTTTAAAGCATGTGTCTGTTGCATATGTCTCTTAAAGTTATCTTTCCTCGAAAAATTCTTCAGACATAAAATACACTGATAAAATTTATTATTATTATTATGTACACTTACGATGTGACGATTCAGAGCTTTAATGAAGCTGAAAGTTTTTCCGCAAATAGAACATAAAAATGACATGATGAATATGATTGAAAGTAGAAGAGTTGATGATGTCGATTAAACAGATAAATGACAATTAAATCGGTAAGGAATGACTTTCTTGGATTTATGTTTTCAATTTTTCGAATTACAGCAATTTTATCTCTAGACACCTACACCCCCACCTGCTTTGATGTGAATTTGCAAGAAATATATATTTTCAAACGTTTATTATAATAAAAATGTTTACATCTCCTTTTAAGTATATATGATTAGTATAATAGGGAATTTCTAAGAAATTAGTGTAGATATAAAATGATTGCATCTCACCTTTCATGCTATACGTATTACTAATAAGAAAAGTAATATTAATTTTTTTTCGTAGACAATACGTTTGCAAAATTACACTTTTTTATTTAATTTAATTTTTTAAATACATCATAACATAAATTTTACTTATATTTTTTTCATAGAGATTTAACTACGTATTGCTTTGTTTCACTCTATCGTAGAGATATAAATAGAGGTAATTTCAGTAATTTATTAATAATAGATAATACAAATGATTTTTATCATAATGTTTTTATTTTCAAAAATACAATATTCTTTATACAAACATTATATCATAACTTGTACTTTGTTCAACTCGACCGTTATATATGAGTTGGAGATCTTCATCAATACCTCTTGATAAATCTTCTCGAGTAAATGTGTATCTAGCATGTAGATAAACTTGAAATGAATCTTCACTATTAAGTTTCACTTCAGCTACTGGTGTTTCATCAGAGTATTTTGATTTTATCAAATATAATCCCAAAACTTTATACGGAACGCCTACTTTAAGATCACATACACATTTTCTTTGTTTACGTTTCATCTCGTTTAACCATTCTTTATTTATTACACTCATCTTAAAAAAAAAAACAAAACAAATTTAGATTTTGAGATTGATAATATTTTAAAGAATCATAATAAATAATAATTACTTTTTTATGCTGATTACACCAATTAAATCAATGATGAATCTATACAAATCTTTTACTATTATACTATTAATCTATAATTGTAAAAAAACAAACTTTAACAATGATAACTCACAATTTATAGTTGATGGATGAAATATTATTTTAATACTTAACTAATCACACATGACGAAAAATAAAACGAGAGATAATATGATTAATTTTTCATAATCGATAGTGTTTTATAGCTAATTTTAATAATAGGAAGGGGAGTTTTTAACGTTAAATTTATCATATACATCCTTAAGTAGTAGATGGTGTATACAGATGGAGGAGGTGGTATTGTTTTTGTTGATGTATATTATAGTTATAATAGTAAATAAAGTGATACAAGAGGAAGGAGGTGATATTGCTTTTGAGTTTTTTAAATTAACACTACAGTAGTAGTAAATGAAGAAATATACTATATTAAATAATGTAATAAAGTAAATTAATATATTGGTATTAAAATATTATAATCTAGTTATTAATATAATAAGAGAGTTAAATGTAATATATATATTATTTTACGTAATTTATACAAATTATTTAATAAAAATATTTTACTCTATAATTTATAATTAGATATATAGTTAATAATAAAAAAATATTATACTAACTAAATAAAGTAGTTATTATAATTTTCATAGAATTCTTCACTTTCTTGTATGAATGAAATCGTTGTTTCGAGATCCCAAATAGGCATAGAGTATGCTGATATAAACATCCATCGGGATAATCTCATTTCACATGCAATACACTTCAATTTTTTTATAATTTTTAAAAAACGACGTGTTCTATTAATCGATATAGTTTTTACCCCGAAATAAACATTAACAGATACATCTTCTCTATGTGAAGAATTTGAGTAACATTCCTCATTGCAACAGTAAAATATATTTTCTCTAGAATTGTAGTAAAAAGCATATGCGATATTCCATGCGTCGTATTCCGATGAAAAAAACATCAATATCTTCCGCACCGTATTCTTCTGGATTAAATAATATGCGGTGTTGAATATCACGTGGTAATTTTTTATAAATTTCATGTCCTGTAATAGGGCGATGAAATTCTACTTCATTGTATATATATAAAATCCTCAATAAACCAGAATCATAATTATTTAAAGTACCCATTATTAACAAACACAAATTCACTAACTATAACATTACATATGAAAATTTAAACGTTCAATGCATCATATACAATTTTATGTATTAGTAGGCGTATATAGACAAAAGAGATGATCATTTTACACTATCTCAACAATAAATTCAGCAGATGTATGAATTAATTTCATAAATTTCATCTCTTATAATACACCATTGGGATTCTACTTCATTGTATACATAGAGTCGCAATAATAGCAGAATCATAATTTTTTAATATTTTCATTATAAACAAATACAGTTTCTACGTATTCAGTATTACGTGGGAAAATGAGATTTTTAACGTTAAATATATCATATTTTAAAGTTTAATTATTATTACATGCAGGAGAAAAAATACAAATTAAATAATATAATGCGGTAAACCATAAATTAGTATTCGTAATCATATTTCCTACACTGTTAATTCACACTATTCAAATATCATAATCTACTTATCAATATGATAAGAGAGATAAATAAATTTAATATCATAATAAATGATAAGAGAATTATCATAATCTGTTATCAAAATTACTTCACTGATAAACAACATAGAACACCATCCTATACATATAATTTCTCTTATCTGTTATTGATAAGGGAGGTGGCGGAACCTCAATGAGGTACCCTAAAAAACCATGGGGCCACCTCAGTGAGGTAGCCCCACAAACACACATCAATATGTTCTTGAAATATGCACGAAAAATAATTTAGATAAGAAAAAAATGTGTCCGGTGTTTTGTGCGATCACGATAAAAAAAATATGGTAGGCTTTGTTTTTTTAATAATTAAATAATAATATATTATGACGCGTATCCAGAATACGGTTGAGCGCGCACCACAAGTAAAAGATGTACCCGGCGATAAACTAACTTTAAGGAATATTGTGTTTTATAATTTGGTAATAACGTACTATTTCTATTGAAAGAAAAGGTGATGCGTATCCAATGGATGGATGAACACAGCGAGAAAAAAAATAACAATATATATATATATATATATACCACAAGTCACAGCGATAGTACGGAGTATCTATAGGTATAGCTATACGCCTGTATATATTTATTTATTTAAATTACACTGTTATACAAGTTATGTTTCTATATATTCCTCGTCGGTTCGACACAAGTTAATCGTAATAATAATAACCAATATAATCGCAAATAGAAAGGAATAAAAAAAAAACAGCAACCAGTTTAGGTTTACGTCCGAAACGCAACAGAACGTTATATCCGTAATCCATACTCGGCGGCGGCCTTATCTCGGTGTCAAGGGCGGGAAGACATCCTATTGTCATATTAATAGCTGGGCTGATATCGCGAAAGACACGGGTGAGCTCCAGCCTAGAGCGACGATCGGTGCCGTGTCAACACCACCCACCAAGCCGTCTGTCTATCTCTTGACCCGGCCGGTTTTTGTATACAAATTATCGCATCATACACAGTAGTTATAAGTAATAAACAATTGTTGCCTTACCGCCATGTTCCTTGTGTGTGTGGTCATTGATATTGCGTTCAAGACTTACCGTATTAGACTGTAACCTTCAGTCTCTTTGGCAAGGGAGAATGGACTATTCGGTCCGGTCATCCGTAACCAACGGATGACGTCAGGACCGAGGGGAAAATAAAAGAAGGAAATTCTTCGACCGATTACTCGGGACGAGGGGTTTCAGGAGGGAAATGAGAAGGAGGAGGAGAAGGAGCATCTGATAAGAAAATTTCCACCGCGTATCCACGGTCGTCCACGGTCTCTTCGATCTCCATGGGGGCCGGTCCAGTTCGGCGGTTGTTACTGTGGAACTGGCGGCCCGGACAATCTCCGATAGAGATGGTGAACAGGTCCTTGGCGCCGGTGCGGCTGGTGGGCGTATAGCCGCTTCCCTCTCCCGGTCCATCCCCTCCTTAAAGACCCGATTGATGCGCTCGCCACGACGGCCGCTCTGTCCCGGGCGTATGGTGCAGGAGCAGGACGATCGGCGGTCCGACGGCGTCGGCCCGCCGGTCGCTGCACCGCCGCGCTAGCGGTAACTGGGCGCTGCGGAGGGGAAGCACCACCCTACCACGGCACAGACCGCGGGACCACCGGCACGGTGGCGATAGCCCTTCGGGTTTCGCGGAGGGTAGCCTCATCCTCCTGTTGTAGAAGGCACTGGCAATCGGATCTCAAAGGATCTGGTGCAACGGTGCGTTCCGGGCCGCCTTGACCGTCGCACGGATCGCCGGGACGTCGAGCGCCTCCGCCAACTGGCGGAGGAGATCGCGCACCAGCTCGTCACGCTCGCAACTTCTCTGACCTTTTTTTTTTTCCTTCGATCGGCTTAGTTGTGAACCGCCCTGGAACTACCGTTAGGTATTACTTCAGGGCGGAACTTCTCTGACCTGACATGCTAAAATTAAAACAGCCCATTAGCACTACTATAGATCGACGACGGCCCGTAATTTGTAATTCATGATTACTATTTTAATTTGAAACATAACACGTGAAGTTTGCGTGGGGGATTTTGATCCTTTAAGAACACCCCTTTGCCCACTTTTTCCGCTAGTCTGACGGAGCTCCACCACTTCGGCGCGAAGCCGTCACAAATTTTTTTTTGTTTATTAGATAAGTCGTGTGCCTTGTAATACACCACATCTCTGACCGTAAATGGTTTTACTATGTGTTTCATCGGAACATTATCTATAATTTTGCCGACCTGCTGTTTGGGTGATGGACGGCTATTGTTTACATTGTCGGCAGTCGCGTTATTTACATGTACGACTGCCCAGTCACCAGGTCATTTCTCCTTTCGGCCGAGAACGAGTACGGAAGGCGGATAACCGGTTTTTTCATTACGACGATTACGCAACGCAAATAGTATGGACGGTATTTTAGTGTCCCAGGTGCTATGGTCGCCCTCTACTAGTAGGGCGCGGAGACCTTTTTTTAGCTCCAGATTTTTTCGTTCTACCGGATTTGCGCGCGGATGATAAATAGGTGTGGTCCAGGCTTCCGCCCCCCATCTATTTATCGCACTAATTATTTCGTTAGAAAAGAGATTCCGTCCGTTAGCGCAAAGCAATACGCGGGGGTACCCAAAACGTGAGAAAAATTCGCGTTCG